TCAATGTCATTTTTACTGAAAAATGTGGTTTTACTGCCTTCAATTATGACGATACTTCTATTTTAAAAGGATATTTCTCCGTTCAAAGGATACGCATCCTTGAGTTCTGTGGCATCATTCGATATTTAATTTAGAGCTGGAGTGAGTAATGCTACAATTCTTGAAGGCCGCATATAAAGTCGGGTGTATCTGTCGTAATATATCTTCATGGCGTCAAAGGCTGCTAAATTGAACTGTCTAACTCGTCATCAAAAAGCAATTGTCGTTCGTACTACTTGTACAAGTCAAAATTGAATTTTTTGCACTGTAGTAAATTAAGTAGCAAATGACATACATTCGGCGCACGGATAAATAAATAACTCCTAGTCAATCAAAAGTAAAACTGAATGGACCCAAAATTAGAGTTTACGAATAAAACAGCGGAACGAGCCCCCGAGGACTGATCTGCTCTCAGGGACAACAAGGTTTACAAAGCGCAAAATATTTTTGAGCAAGCGATTCATGGGTAAGTTTAGCGTTATTATAGCTCGCGGTTGTACAAAAAATCATTGAAGCGTGTGGTGAAAAATAATTTAACGAGCCCCCGAGGACTGATCTGCTCTCAGGGACAACAAGGTTTACAAAGCGCAAAATATTTTTGAGCAAGCGATTCATGGGTAAGTTTAGCGTTATTATAGCTCGCGGTTGCACAAAAAATCATTGAAGCGTGTGGTGAAAAATAATTCATTCAAACGGATGGTGAAAAAGTAATTATTAAAGCTGATGGTGAAACAAAGAAATTAATTCTAGCGCGTGGTAACGTAAAAAAATTGATTTAACAGTTTCATTTTTAACACAAGGAAGGAAAATCCCATAATATGTGTTGAGAGGGTAGGAAGTTTTTACTAAAGATGATATACAAGAAAATTGTAATATAAAAATTCGGTATTTCGAATAGGTGTTTTAAAAATACTACTTGAAATTTATCATTGAAATATGACAGATTGGAACAAACATCGCCCAATGCATCTTAATACAGTAGAAGTGGGTTCCTATTGAAATTCAACGGATATATTTAAGTGAATGTCTGAATGTGGAGTGAATGTGCATGTGACACGCTGTAAAATGTCGTAACGTTTCGATGCGAATATCACATGGATCTTGTTTGTTACACGGTCTAAAAATTTTAAAACTAAGACCTTCATCATATCAAATTGCAAAAGTTAGTTAAAAATGGCATCTTGTTAGTAGCTCGCGTAGCATTCTAACATACTCATTAGCATGTCACTTTCTAAAAAACAAGATAAGAAGTGAAAAAACACCCTCAGCTAAAACAAAAATAGTATCGCTTTAATCTCAAGTTAGTTTACATGCATGGAAAACTCTATCGTGCTTCTCAGGCATGCAGCTAAAGACTCATGCATGCTAACGTTAACATTGTTAACGTTCCCCCTTCTCAGGAATAAAGTAATCTATTCATTCAAGTTGTTTTGCTTGTATAAATCTAATTAATCTCTTAACAATGAATCGAATTATTCTAAAGCTAATGATGTAAACTCTTTTAATCACCATAAATTACCTTGTATTGGACCCCTCCAGTTGTATTAATTGGTAATGGAATGCAGATTCTTCGAGTTAACTAGTCAAACGTTGCAAGTATTTGCAGACGTAAGAGATTCAAATGTTAAATAATGATAACTGAAATTATTCAAGTGATTTTAATTTTGAGATAGAAATATTTTAAGTTGTCCATCATTCGTTTATTGACATTGATTGATTACAGGATAGATTTTAGCGCATTTTCTCATTTGTGGAAAAAATGCGCTATTGTGCTCGCCATGTCCGTCTGTCCGTCCGTCCGTCTGACCGTCTGTCCGTCCGTGACTTCACGTTTTCGTCGACGAGAAAATGCGCTCTCTGTCACTCACTGCAGTGAGTACCGAGTTATATTTTTTAGACTAGTGAGCGCCATGACTATCATGTTTCTGATCTAATTCTAAGAATCTTTAATAAATCCAACAGCGGGGATTTAGTGACCTGCTTTTAACTGATAGAGATTTCTAAGTCACAGAAATCCTAATTAAGCTTGAGTCGGAATACTCGTGAAAGCGGCGTTGGTTGAAGATAATCGATAGCAATAAGGCAATGAACGGTAACGTCAGCGTCATATCCTTATTTTATGATCAATTTGAGACCCTCCAATCCGATTAATTGTATTGACGCCAATGCGGGCCAATATAAAGCTCATAAATAACGGCAATTGAGCCCTTGATCTCCTCGGTCGCGATGAGCTTAACGCGCTCTGCCATTTCGACAAGTCATTAACCGTTAAATCGGACAGATGAGAGCAATTGATTGGCAATGCGGGATTTACATCGAAAATAATTGATGGCTGCCGAAAACTTCTGGTCAATGAAATAATGAACACAATAGGAAGACGAGTGATTGTGGAATTGTAAGACGGTTGAAGTTACATCGGAAAGTCACAACATTTTTTATGATAGACATTTTTGGAAACGTATGACAAACATCGATAAATTATATTAGTTATAACAATAATTAAACCAGCTTTCCCTACCGAATAGACAGACATATTTTTGACCTCTGGTTGAATTTTTACTGAATTTATTATTCGGTGTTTAAAATGAACCGATCTAACTCGACCCTCCACATTTTTCATGATAAACCCCACTTTATTTTTTTTTCCCGAATGCTCTATAATTTCTACTGAAATATTCTTTGAGCAGACCTGGTAGAATTGATGCAGAAAGATCAGCATGGCTTTCATAGTCCGACATACCCTGTAATGAGGTTTGCAGGCTCTTCGAGATCCTGTAAACCAAGCAATTTCTCGAATGCTTCCGTTCAATCCGTCTCTCAATATTGACCGGAAGCCTTGCAAATCCAGCGCTATTCGAGCTCGTAGGTATTTTATATAACCGTGCTATTGATGCCGTCTATTTGTCGAACAGTCAGCTTGTCGTTAGAAACTCTGCATGCAATTTTGTTTTTAGATTACTCATATGTTGCAAACATTTGTTGACGAATTGAGGCTTAAAGTTTGTTGAGCGATGGTACTTAGTTTTGAAGGCAGCCATGGTTGAAGATTGAGGAATGGAGGAATGGATTGGGTGGAATGGATTGCCGCTGTATTGAGGAAATATGAGGAAACATTGCGAACCTAAACTATATGTATAAATACCTAGCGAACAGGAAACCTCGTGTATTCAAAAATACACGTAGGAGTAAAAAACATTGCGGAGAAGCGAATGTTGTTGAGAAGCAATTCATTGATCGTAATATTTGAGGGGAAAAATCTTGATTGCTTACGATGAACTACGGCGTTCAGTTGTAAATATTACGAGCTCGTTTACGGTGAAAGGGCTTCGGATACGGGATCCGATCCGTCAACACGGAACTGAGTAAACACGGTCTGGTTAGTGAAGCTGGAGAAGAACAGCTGGCCTGGTATGTGAAGCTGGAGAAGAACTGCTGGTCTGGTTAGTGAAGCTGGAGAAGAACAGCTGGTCTGGTTAGTGAAGCAGGAGAAGAACAGCTGGTCTGGTTAGTGAAGCAGGAGAAGCGAACAGCTGGTCTGGTTAGTGAAGCTGGAGAAGCAAACAGCTGGTCTGGTTAGTGAAGCAGGAGAAGAACAGCTGGTCTGGTTAGTGAAGCAGGTGAAGCGAACAGCTGGTCTGGTTAGTGACGCAAGAGAAGCGAACAACTGGTCTGATTAGTGAAGCTGTAGAAGTACAGCTGGCCTAATTAAGTGAAGCAACATGTTGCAGTACATTGATTTACGCAGCCATCTCTTTCTAGGTCACCGACTATGGACAGAATCAGACATCATGTCATTTATAAATTACATTTTATTCAAATATATAGATGAATTTTCAAATTTCTGTACTTCAAACTTTTATCTCTTTCGATCCAATTTTTTTGGGCACAGAACGTCCCCGTCTAATATCCATGATATGTGTAGTATTTTTTGAAATTTTGCTTGTGATGATTTAAGCATTAAATCAGCATAAACAAAATTAAAAGTTAATTTTAAAGGAACAAGAGTAGATCTGAAGAAGAACTTGTAAACGAGTTATGTTTGATTATTCATGCGCGAGTTAGTAGTCACTGAGGAGCTGTTTGTCAGTTAGGCCGAAACTGCCAATCAAGAAGCAATCAAGTCGCTTCTGATTTACATGCTGATTGCTCTTGTGAGAACCCTTCTCTTCACGGGCGTTGCTAACTATACTACGTGATACTTTTTGCTCGGCCAAACTAGGTCATCCTGACTCAGATTGGCCCAGCTAAAGATCGTATCGGTGGTACGTCCATTCGCTGCTCAAGCTTCTGGAAGAAAGTGTGTCACAATTTGAATAATTTTACTCGTATATTTTTCTGACTGAATGTTGTTACTAATGAGCGGTCGTCATTAACACTAAAAACTAATTTCTTGAGTCTATACCCTTTCTATCCCGGTATCTGGTATCTATTGTGTACTTAAAACGTTAAAAAGATGTTTATTTAAAGAAAGATGTTCAACAGTCAACTGACGATGTGACTTAACATGTTGCCAACGCGTTGGATGTGTGCCTATATTTCAGACCAAAGGCTGTGAGTGTTTATTCAATATGCTTCCTCCATCCCACTCAGTGAGTGTGTTCGTCCTCTCTCAGTCCCACTCAGTGAGTGTGTTCGTCCTCTCTCAGTCCCACTCAGTGAGTGTATTCGTCCTCTCTCAGTCCCACTCAGTGAGTGTATTCGTCCTCTCTCAGTCCCACTCAGTGAGTGTATTCGTCCTCACTCACTCCCACTCAGTGAGTGTATTCGTCCTCACTCACTCCCACTCAGTGAGTGTGTTCGTCCCCTCTCAGTCCCACTCAGTGAGTGTATTCGTTCTCTCTCCCTCCCACTCTATTGTTCCTCATCAAATTCCTCATCAGCTCCCTAGATTCGTGCGCAATCACTGAACACTCAAAACAATTAACGGGTACCGTTGTCCCGAGAGTGAAACGCTTTCTTCCTCACAGCACGAGCTGAGAGCCGACGTAGCACTGATCTACGCCTGTTTGCGGGCCACTCTGGGTCAGGGTGACCTACACAAAGGCGAACAGTGCATCACTATTTGAACAAAACCTAACTCATTTTTCGGATTGTTATTTACTGAAGCAGGCCTAAATTCAAGGTACTGTTCAATACAGGCAACTGCCTAACTCATGTTTCGGATTGTTATTTACTGAAGCAGGCCTAAATTCAAGGTACTGTTCAATACAGGCAACTGCCTAACTCATGTTTCTGATTGTTATTTACTGAAGCAGGCCTAAATTCAAGGTACTGTTCACTGTTCAATACAGGCAACTGCCTAACTCATTTTTCTGATTGTTATTTACTGAAGCAGGCCTAAATTCAAGGTACTGTTCACTGTTCAGTACAGGTAACTCGAATATAATTTTCTGCGGCTGCCAATGAATTAATTAATGAAACGTTTTACTTGTTATTAACAGCAAAATTGAAGCCAAAAGGCAGTTCGCACTTTCTAATTATAGCGCTTTGATGTCCTCATCAAACGAAGGTGACGTAATTACGAAGTCTTTTCTCGCTTTGGGTTTACCGACGCGTTATTAAGGATCAGGTTTAACTGTTATGAGGCCTTCGGTAATTAAAGTTTCGGCTCAGGTACTATCGGTATAAAAGTTGAATGATGTCTCTTTCAATTTTAATGATATCAGTATTTAATATTAATGAAAGATATATTAGATTGTAATAAAAACCCTGAAAGACTATGGGAAAATTGAATTACGATGAATATGCAGATAAATTTTTCGTAGTTATTTGCTAGTCGCCTGTCATTCGCTACGGAAATTCATACGCTCTACAATTATCATTAATATTGTTATTATTTTTAATAATATCGTTATTATTATTACATTTATTAATACATATTATTATTAATTATTAATAATATTTTTATTATCATTATTACTTATTACTGCATTCCAGTATGTGTCTCTAAATTGAGACTCCAGTCCTTGGCTTCGTTGTTACCACAGAATCACCAAAATACGACAAGCTGGCGTATAAATCACTAATGAGGTCTCTAAGTACTATTTTATGACAGTTCTCAGCTTCATATGTTCCACTGGATGGGAGTAATGAGCGGCTAAAGTCCCTACCTCGTCCTGAGTAATCCAGCTGACGACAGTACTTTATTGTGAGTAATCCAGCTGACGACAGTACTTTATTGTGAGTAATCCAGCTGACGACAGTGCTTTATCGTGAGTAATCCAGCTGACGACAGTGCTTTGTCGTGAGTAATCCAGCTGACGACAGTGCTTTGTCGTGAGTAATCCAGCTGACGGCACTATTCTGTCGTGAGTAATCCAGCTTACGTTTGTGTTTTATTAAGAGTCACTGAATTGATATTCGAATCAATTTAGAAACCATAAATTTCGTTGAAATTTTTTTCAAGCACATTAATACCTTGCATCAAATTTTGGAAATTGATTGAGAAAATTACCGGATATCAAATCTGTAAATATTTTACATCGTGTCTTTTGATATAAAATTTACAACAGAACATTTTAGTAATGATTTTGAAAATAATAATGATTTCATCCTATTAAATCATTCGGAAACACCTGTTGTTGACGATGTAGCCCTTTACGATTTTTTTTATTTAAATAAAAAAAAATTTTTGTGCAGATGAATAGGCCTTCAATTGTTTAGTTTATCTAAGTCCCACAAGTCAAAATGTAGAAACATTTGCTTAACATTTTTGACAGGAAAATAAACGGTATTGCTGATCTTAATTCGGATGTCTTTTAACGCAAGCACCTGTGGTGACTGCCTGCATAGAAATCTAAAAACTAATTGTGTTCCAAAATGAAGGACTATGCAGGGGGTGTTGCAGTCTAATCAAGTAAATAAATAAATAAATAATTAACTTGATTATTATTATTAAATTATGAACTTAATTATTGCAGGCTTTGTTACGATGAAACCCTGCATCTAGGAAGTTGAATTGAGAACTAGTGAGCGAAGAAGGCCAGGGGCCATGCTTTCAAAATTCGCTAATTGAACGTAAGTACTTACGCTTTATTTTCTTGTCTATGATTGGTGGATTTTGCTTGAAAGGCCGTCAATGATTGGCTGATGAACTTACGATCTCTTAACTTTTTTTGAAAGTATGGGCCCTGGGGATCAGAACTTTAGCTACCGAGTGTGCTAATTCCAACGCCCGGTAAAAATTCATCAGGAAATCGTAATTTTTTTCTACGCACGATGATTTCAATTATATTATCGAAAATTTAATCAGGATTTTTTTTATTCTACTGAACATAGCAAAATGTGCTGCATGTTCCTTCAAATTTATGCCACCAACATCAAGAACTGGCTTTTCCCACTGACCTCCCTAACTGAAATCAGAACTTGATTGTGACTGATAATGCAGTGTTTTCAGTTAAGATTAAATTTCATTCACTCTGGCCACAAAAAAACGTTGTTCACCTTATATAATAGACGGCGCTGTTCAGGCTGATTTCTCTTTGATTGCTTTTGTGTAAAAAATTGCTGTTGTGTCTTAAATCTTCAACAGGGATTGATTGTGCATCAATAATTGCGTTGAAAATTTAAGCCGATTTTCGACGGCCACTGAATAGCTAAACATAAGCCCACTCAGCTTCCGCTAGAAATTTTTTGGGGGAATATTATGGGCTCGAAGTTAATGAAATTCATAACAAAATTAATGGCTTGGAAGACCTCGTTGAAGCTTCTTCAGCTTTATTAATAAATCTTCCCGAAATTCAATTCTAGCGGGATACATAATCGACAGATTATTCGCGTCGCTGGTAAAAATCTGAAAATTTTGCAATGTAAGCTTAATATTCGTTAATGAAACACACGATCAATCGTCAGTTACGGAAAGATCGGGTTCCAAAGACTGTATCCCTTGTGAATCAAGTCACGATAAGTACAAGAATCGGCAACAGGCCATGGGCCTATTTCTTCAGTGCCGACACTTCTATTCTATTCTATTCTTGTACGAGTAGACCGCACCGGCATCGCCACACAGTTATGAACAATGCCAAAACAAAGTGTAAGTTAAAAAATAATTCATTTTATCTCATGTTTGGGCGTCTCAAATATTCTGGCGCCAAAAGAGTCTTGAAAAATATCACAATACCATTTCAGGAACCATTGTTCTAATTAACCTCATGTTTGACACCACGACTATGCCGGCACGTCATGAACGGCTATAAAAAATCATAATATAAATGCACAAATTATTGTTCTAACCTCATAATCATAATATAAATGCAGAAATTATTGTTCTCACCTCATAATCATAATATAAACGCACAAATTATTGTTCTAACCTCATAAACATAATATAAATGCAGAAATTATTGTTCAAACCTCATAATCATAATATAAATGCAGAAATTATTGTTCTAACCTAATAATCATAATATAAATGCACAGAAATTATTGTCCTAACCTCATAATCATAATATAAATGCACAAATTATTGTTCTCTAACCTAATAATCATAATATAAATGCACAAATTATTGTTCTAACCTCATAATCATAATATAAATGCAGAAATTATTGTTCTAACCTCATGCTTGGACGCGTCGAGTATACCGGTTTCATGAGCGGCTATAAAAATCATAATAATAATGCACAAATTATAATTATTTATTATTCTCACCTCATGTTTGGACGCGTCGAGTATGCCGGCGTTGAGCGCGCTGCGTGCCGGTCTATTCTTGCTGTACGCTGAGCTTTGTCTCCTGAAGCCCCCCAGCCGCAGACCGTCAGGGATACCTCCGCACGCAGACTCGTCCTGAGGCGCAGGCAGGCGTCCTATGCGCAGGAATGTCCTGAAGATGTCACGGATGTGCAAGTTCTCCTTGGCCGAGCACTCCAACACCCGGCATCTGGAAGTAGAGACCGAAAACAACGATCAAGTGAATTATTTTCTTTATTAATAGTGAATTATGTGCAAGTTCTCTTTGGCCGAGCACTCCAGCACTCGGCATCTGGAAGTAGAGACCGAAAACAATGAGCAAGTTGAGGAGAAATTAGGGATTTTTTTTTGTCTATAAAATCGAGGGCATCTAAGATCTCGTACCGTAATTATAGGGAGAGATAAAAAACAACGATCAAGTCGAAGAGGTATTAGTTTATTATTTTCTATATATAAAATCGTTGGCATCTAAGATCTCGTAACGTAATTATAACAGGTTTCAATACCATAATATGGCATACTTTAACATCCGACATCATTGTGATGACGCTATTCAAAATCCGACATCGCGGTGATGACAATATACTGCACTTACAAGCATGGCACACTTCAACATTTGACTCCAGTGAATATAAAAATAGTGAAGTAAATGTATATTAAAAACTATTGCGACGAATTAAGTATTTTAATGTACGAGTTCGGTACTAAATTTCATGTTGATGATGTCGAAAATGTATCGAAGTTAGGGTTTACTGTACAGATAATTAATGGCTTCGATGTTGATGACATTGATACTAACTTTATAAGATGTCGATGTTCTGAAGAATGGTTTTGAAGTTAACAGATATCAAGATTTTGATGCTAATGGCACCGAGAAAGTGAAGTTTCGATGATTGACGACCAATACATTACAACTCAAGGCTATTAAAAGTTTGGGAAATAATTTCTCGCAAGTTTCCACGTGTTAGTGGCCTTCCCGCGAAACATCGCGTCTATTCACCTAATAAAGAGAGATGTTGCAGGAGATTTTTTATAATTAAGTGAAATATAACTCACGGAAATTGATGCCAAATGAATAAATGCAGCGATTAAAGCGTAATTATACTCAAATTGCACGAGCTTAACGATTAGAGTGTACGTTCCACACCTCAACTTAAATTTGAGCAACGTCATTGAATTAATATACGTATTCAATACAACTCGTATTTTATTTGACTTACTAGAATGTAAATGTAAATACGACGACGTCTGTAAATAGGACATCTTGAAGCAAAACAAGATATACGTTCAAATGATATACGTGGAAGAACAAACCAGCAGAGAAGAAATGCGTTGCCATAAACGACGAACTGCATGGTCTACCGACTTGCATCAAACGTCTTCTCGCAAATTAATTTCTCGCTTCATTGCAACAATCCTCCAAACGCGCGTAAACATCCAATTAATTTATGTATTTTTGGAGTGAAGGAGATTGAATGCTCCCTAGATTGTTAACAGAAGTTGCGGAGTGAATAGATACAGACGCGGACTAACGAAGAAAAGCTAGAGAATATGTTGTTAGAAAAACTATTCACTGATCGAGAATAGTTTTTGATGTTGTTGGAATTCTATTTGAAAATTTATTGACAAAGTTCTCGGTTCGCTTGAACAAAAATATATATTGTTAGAACGAAAGCCGAAGGCTTTATATCGACTAACTATTTAGTTTTGAACGTGAAAATCTTTTTTTAAAATGCATAGCCTTAAATTACCATAATAATTCACATGAAAGTACGCAGTAAATTTGACAGGCATTTTCATAACTGGCAAATAACTAAAACCTATTTTCTTCAAACGATATATACGCTACTAACTTTCGAGCAGTAAGATGTTTTGAAAACTCGCTGCTTTCCTCTATTCGTAAACCCGAACGAACATCCCAAGAAATAAATTTTCCAACTCGTTCTGTGCCTGCGTCTTTACTTATTTGAATTAATTTCTAAAGTTTACTCAAGTTTTATTTTTCACCATAACATTTGGAAATTCTAATGAATAGTTTACAATTTAAATGCGCCGCTTGTTGATACACGAGCGATTAATGGCCAGAGAATCGCACGTGGATAGACAAGCTAATTGTGTCGTCTAATACCGAATAAATTGTTACGTGTATGTGCCACCAGAAAAAGGTGCTTCTTCATTCAGAGTTCACAGCTTTTCTTGTAGAATTGCATATAATTTTTAAAATAAGCGACTGAAGTGATTAAAAAATTTTTTTTTCACTATTTAAGAATACGTGTTTTAAAATGCCCAGTTATGCTCATTGATATTCCTAAAAAATATATTAAAAAGTTCGGCCAATCCGTACGCTAAGCCCATTCTTATGTCATCACACAATTCCTCCGAGCCTCAGTTAAGACCTAAACACTGAAAAAACTCAAGAAATATACTCTATCTTGAGAAATTTCTCTTCATGTTCAGTGGTTTCCTAAGCTGATTAGCAACGAGTGACTAAGATCCTTTGAATGTTGATAATGAAGGCGAAGTCGCATCATGCTACGAATATTCCGGCATCAAAATGTTGCACGCTTCAAAGCAGCAACATCAGACGAATTTCAAATTCCTTGTTGGTTTTCTGAAAATTGCTTATCGCCAAGCAGCAAATTCACTTTGATGTTTTGGCAGAATTTTGATCGCATTACATTCTACTTCGTGGCTTAAAATAAATTAATGATACTATTCAATGTAGCTACCATACTCAAGAATATTGGGCTTGTGAGATTGTTATATCACATTAACGTATTGTTTCTCTTATAGATGGTTTTTAGCTTTCCTTCGCTTTTTCAGTCGCGAATTATACGTGTGAAGCTTAAGTGAGAGCAGTCATAAAGTAATGATGATTTGTTTATGATTCTGTGCTAGACATATTTAAACACGTGTTATTTGTTTTTTCGAAACAAAGCTTTGTAAAACTGCTGAACTAATCCAAATTGGGCAAAAAAGTGGAAATTATTATCCACTCAAGGATATACCGACACCGACGAAAAAAATCCCGTCTCCTAAACTTCCCGGAAATGTTACCTCTTCGTTACCGACCTGGCGGCAAAAGATAGACTTGGTATTCGTGACATCGCTGCAAATGCATTCTTCTCTTGCAATAAATTTTCGGTTTCTAACCGAGGACTGCGCAGACAGTCGAATACTTTCAGTGTTCCGCTCGACAGACGCAGAGTTAATCTTTTTCAACATCATCCGTTCATTTCCTGCTTGATTTTTATTCTTCCTGGGGCCATACTTTCAAAACTCGCTAAGTGAACGTAAGTACTTACGCTCGATTTTCTTGTCTATGATTGGTGGATTTTTGCTTGAAAGTCCGTCAATGATTGGCTGATAAACTTACGATCTCTTAACTTTTTTGAAAGTACAGGCCCAGGTCGGGATAACTTTACGATCTCCACGGTAAATGTGATTCAATAAATTTCTACACGTTTGCTTCAAATTAGTAGTCTTCATAACTTGATCGCAAGTTTGAATTTGTTATTTATTCAAGTTCGAACTTGAAAGAAAACAATTTTCGATTATGCAACTGTAAAGATATTTTAAAATAAGTCGGTTACTGTCCTAAATAAATTGTTGGTGTAAACCGCTGCGAATAAATGTTCGCGCCAGTGAAGGCTCACGCTAACATTTGAAGCGCTTCCTATTGATGTAACCAACGCATGATGCAAAGTTTCCACATATTCGAATTTCGAAGTTTTTACATATTCGTGAAACGAATTTTTACCCATTCGCGAAATTAATTTTTTATCTATTCGTGAAACTAATTTTTTACCTATTCGCGAAACTAATTTTTTACCTATTCGCGAGACGAATTTTTTTACCTATTCGTGAAACGAATTTTTCCTTAATTCGTATTACGAATTTTTCGTTAATTCGTGTTACGAATTTCTCTTTAATTAGTATTACGATTTTTTTCTTAATTAGTGTTACGAATTTTTCCTTAATTCATGCTGCAAATTTCTCTTTGATTGGTGTTATAAATTTTTCCTTAATTAGTGTTACGAATTTCTCCTTAATTACCGATACGAATTTTTCCTTAGTTAGTGTTACGAATTTTCCCTTAATTCGTGTTACGAATTTTTCAGAGATTCGTGTAACGATGTTTTCAACGAAGGTTTCACCAATTCGCGTAATGAAGTTTTTCGCCAGTGCACAGATTTTAAGGATCCTGTCATCCACCAATCGATGCGTAAGAAAGTGCTCTTTCAACGCAGCCAAGATACCGTAACTTAGCCTTAAACCAAGTCAGGAAGGCATGGAGCAACTGGCTGCACACCTTTCACGTCGCTATCATGATGGGCACTGAGAGGTTTGGCTTCAGCTCGCAGTTTTAGTAGTCACGCCCCGTAATTATTGCCTTAGGAATTACTATAGGCTGCCCCCACCACCCCCCCGTTCTATGGGGCGTGGTGCAGTAGAAAATGGAGGTACAAAGATGGGTGTACCACCAATCGATGCGTAAGAAAGTGCTCTTTCAAACAAGACTATGCCCACTTTAGAGCCATGATTGGCTGCTTAATGCCAGGCCTTCCTTTGTGGAGTGACCAGCGCGTCATTTATCCTCGTAGAGTTTTGTTAAGGGACCTAAAACCCGCCTCCCTTTGAGGAGCTGTCACAAAGTCATTTTTCGACGCACAGGGACGATACTTATACTGTTCGATGCGCAAGAAAACAACCTTTAAGATGAGATAAGAAACAGAAAAACTCAAAATTTTCAAATTTTAGGGTAGCCGATCCCCTTAAAATTAAATAATCAATTAAATTTTAGGTTTAATAAAATGATAAAATTTAAAAATAAATAATAAATGAAATTTTAGGTTTAATAAAAATAAGAAACAGAAAAACTCAAAATTTTCAAATTTTAGGGTAGCCGATCCCCTTAAAATTAAATAATCAATTAAATTTTAAATTTAATAAAATGATAAAATTTAAAAATAAATAATAAATAAAATTTCAAGTTTAATAAAATGATAAAATTTAAAAACAAATGATAAATAAAATTTTAAGTTTAATAAAATGCTAAAATTTAAAAATGAATAATAAATACAATTTTAAGTTTAATAATAAATTTAATAGAATATAATTTGTCAAATAAATGTTTTAAGGGTGTTAATGAATGTCCAAAATAGCGATGCAATTTTTACCCTTGTTTGA